GATCCTGCAGTACACCAAAACCACCTTGCACCATGATCGAGTGGGATTTATTTTGTGGATGCAAGGTTGGCACAATATCCTCAAATCAATAAACTTGATATATCACATAAACAAAATGAAGGGTAAAATCACATGATGTATCAATAGATGCAGAAAAAAGCATTTGATAAAATCCAGCACCCATTTATCATAAAAATTCTCAGCAAAGTGAGAATAAAGGCAACATACCTCAACATTATAAAGACCATATGTGACAAGCCCACAGCCAGCATCATACTCCATGGGCAAAAACTGCAAGTGTTTCCCTTAAGATCAGGAACAAGACAGGGGTGTCCACTGTCACCACTCTTATTCAAGATAGTACTGGAGTCCTAGCCACAGCCTCAGAAAAGAAAACAACATAAAATGTATCCAAATTAAAAAGGAAGAAGTAAAACTGTCATTATTTGCAGATGATATGATACTTTATAGAGAGAACCCTAAAGATTCCTCCAAAAAACTACTAGAACTGATAAATTAATTCAAGAAAGTAACAGGATACAAAATAAAAATCCAGAAGTCAATTGTATTTTTACACACCAATAATGAACTGTAAGAAAGGGAAACTAAGAAAACAATCCCATTTACAATTCCATAAAAAGAATACCTAGGAATAAATTTAACCAAGGACATAAAGGACCTGTACTCAGAAGATTATAAGACACAGAAGAAAGAGGAAGCATATACCCTGTTCATGGATTAAAATAATTAACATCATTAAAATGTCCATACTACCCAAATCAATCTATAAATCTTTTATATATTTTTATAAATATATAAAAATTTATATGGAGCCACAAAGACCCCGAAGCCACAACAATCTTTAGAAAGAAGAACAAAGTTGGAGGAATCATGCTACTAGATATCAAATTATACTGCAAGGCCACAGTAATCAAAACAGCATGATACTGGCATAAAAAGAGGCATATAAATCAATGGAACAGAATGCAGAGCCCAGAAATAAACCCACTCCTTCATGGTCAATTAATATTTGAGAAAGGAGGCAAGAGTGTACAATAAGGTAAAGACAAGTTATTCGATAAGTGGTGCTGGGAAAATTGGACAGATACGTGCAAAAAAATGAAACTAGACCACCTTCTTACACTAGACAAGAATAAACTCAAAAAGAATTAAAGATTTAAATGTAAGACTTGAAACAACAAAAATCCTAGAAGAAAACATACGCAGTAACATCTCAGACATTTCTCAGAGCAGTATTTTTTCTCATGTATCTCCTTGAGCAAGGGAAACAAAAGAAAAAAATAAACAAATGGGACTACATCGAACTACAAAGTTTTTGCACAGCAAAGGAATCATCAACAAAATGAGCAGAGAACCCACTAAATGGGAGAATATATTTGCCAATGATACATCTGATAAGGGGTTAATGTCCAAAATTTATTAAAAACTTATAGAACTCAACACCAAAAAACCAAACAATTCAATTAAAAATTGTGCAAAGGACCTGAATAGACACTTCTCCAAAGAAGACATACAAATGGCCAAAAGACATATGAGAAAATGCTCAATGTCACTAATCATCAGAAAGATGCAAATTAAAAACACAATGAGCCCGGCCGGGCGTGGCTCAGCGCTTGAGCATCGACCTAGGATCCAGGAGATCAGGGTTCGATTCCCGGTCAGGGCACATGCCCGGGCTGCGGGCTCGGTCCCCAGTTGAGGGCGTGCAGAAGGCAGCTGATCAATGGTTCTCTCATCATTGATGTTTCTATCTCTTTCCCTCTCCCTTCTCTCTGAAATCAGTAAGATATATTTAAAAACAAACAAAAAACCACAATGAGGTATCACCTCACACCTGTCAGAATGGCTCCATCAACGAATCAACAAACAGCAAGTGCTTGTGAGAATGTGGAGAAAAGGGAGCCCAGGTGCATTGCTGGTGGGAATGCAGACTGGTGCGGCCACTGTGGAATTCCCTCAGATAATTAAAAATAAAGCCTCCTTAGGACCCAGCAATTCCACTTCTGGGAATATAACCGAAGAAACGTGAAACACTCATCAGAAAGAATATATGCACCCCTATGTTCACTTCAGTGCAGTTTACAACAGCTAAGCTCTGGAAACAGCCCAAGTGCCCGTCAGTAGATGAGTGGATAAAAAAGCTGTGGGACATTCACACCAGGGAATACTACTCAGCCTTGAAAAGAGAAAAGG